GACAACACAAAGTAGGTACTTGGCTCCTGCACAGCTTATTTGCTAACTTGCCTGTCCATAAAGCTCTACCTGACAGCTGTGCTAAGACAAAGATGCACAGTGACAAATGGACAGTTCCTTTTTGCCTAGAACATAAGTTCATGAACTTCTGCTATCATTCAAGCACGATCTAATTAAAACATCATGACCTATAAAATAATCTCTCTCTTTGTCCCTCTATCCACACTTAAAAAAAAAGTTTCCTGTGTTTTCCAGCTGGACAAACGATCCTTCTGCCTTCTTTGAAGTAAATATTTTGTTGGGTTTGGCTGCTGTCACAGCCGCACATAGTCTTCTGCCTAATATTTTATCCATCTGGTGCTAAAGAACTGGAGTGCTTTGAGCGGAGAGTATCAGAAGGTTTTTGAGGTGCTAAGTAGAGTTAAGGAGCACTAATATAAGAGGAAAATGTATTACCTTTCAGTTTTCGCATGCATGATTTAAGTTGAAATACCTTAAAAATGAAACATTCTCCAAGATGCTTGTTATCACATCCTCGTGTGCCGCCAGTGGGAGAAGATAATGTTGCGTTATTAGCTGAAGACCTGATACACCATACTCACCCTCTCCATAGTTCACATGTGGAGATGTAATCCAAAGCTGATTTCTTCTTTTGTCTCCCATGAATGGAAAAAGGGAATTGGATTCTAGTGCATTTGTGGTTGCCAGCATCTGCTTTGCCTCATTTCTGTGCTTGAAGAACATCTGGCTCTGTTCTAGGACAGCCATGCGTGGGCAATTGTGCTGCATGGAGCAAGCAGTGCTTCCAGCGACAAAACGTCCCTAAGGCCTGCTGCTCTGAGCTTAACTTCTGGCAGCTGCCTGGAAAAACTTGCTCCTTCTCACTACTTCGTTACTCTTTCTGCAAGTTGGGCACTCCGGCCATTAATTTGCCTTGTAGGTGGAGGCCACTTGCTAACGTTGGGCTTCATTTCAGAGCGACCTAAATAGCTTTGCTTGATGCTGGTCCTGTCTTGGATTTTTTTTTTTTCCATCCGAAACAAGAAAGGGTGTTTTTCCATACATCCCCGGGGCTGCTCTTAATCCTATCTCAAATGCTCTCTGGAGTGAGGGTCACTGTTAGGGTGTTTATTTTTCCCTAACAGCTCTGGGCAGGGGAAAGGAGACAGGCAACGGAGGGCCCTGGGGGGAATATTTAGGATGCCTATTAATTTCCCAGAAATCTTTCTCTTGTTCTTTTTCAATAGAAAATCTATGTCCTCATGACCTTTGCAAGAACCGTTGCTCGTTCCCTTTTGCCCATCTGAGCTCGGCTTTGTGCTGTTAACAGACCCCAATTCTCCAAGCTCTGGCTGGTGGCCAGGACCCAGAATTCGAGACTTTGTGGCGGCAGCAGCACAAGCCTTATCTCCCTTCCCCACTGCGTGACACAAAGCCCCAGGCCTTGCCCCTTTTTGGCAGCTTTCTGCCCATTTTGTGTCCCTTTATTCTTTGTGCAGGAGATGCTGGAGCCAGCTCAGCCTGCTTTGACCTTTCCCTGCCATCCCAAGTGATGGAAGGCACCAATTATGGGAGAGAATAACTGGTCAAACCCATGGTGCCGGCGCGGGCAATCAAATTGGCGGTAGTTACTTAGAAAAACCACTTGTTCAAGAAGTGTTGGGAGAAACAATGAAGGGCGGAGGTGTTTTCCTCGAGAAGAGGAGCAAGCCTTACTTCTGCAATACAATTACTACAGGTAAATTTTGTACCTTATCCTACTTGCTTCGCCACTGGACAGTGCTCGTTGTCTCCATCCCTCAGTGACCAACCTTCAGGCCAGCATCTGCACGGGCAGGTACTGCTTCCTCTTCCCTTGCACATCCTGCCTGGCTCTTCCACAGGGCAGAGCGATGTCCCCACTTCCAGGGGATCTTCCTCCTGAGATACCTCTTCTGCTGGGATGCTTCCCACAAGAGCAAATGCATCTGTTGGGCCTCCGTCTGATTTTATAAGTCCACTCAAACCAGCAACCATCAGAGCATTCCCTCCCACCAGCCAGCAGCATCTCCAATGGAACAAACCACAAAATGCTACTGAAAATATTAACAGGAATGGGTCAAGTAACCTGACATGGCAGAGGCTTGCATGGTTTGCACTGCCCTGAACTCTAACTTTGCTAATACCTCCGGAGCACTAAATAAAGCTCTTGATTTTCACCAAGTTTACATTTTCTGGAGCTGAGTGTACGAACAAGTGGCCAAAATGTTCAGTGATTTCACTTACTAATTTTCCCAGGGTGGATGAGTGGATCCAGCAGTGTTGTGCAGTCAGGAGGGGAATCATCTCTCTTAAAAAGTATCCTCCAGCAGCCAAAATATGTTTTGAAGCTGAATAGGAAACACCCACGAGCAGGGATTGTAACATAGTCACCACTGCAGATTATATAAAGAAAACTGCACTTTAGATTTGGACTTAATGTGATATTTCACAGCTTCTGTTGTAAGAAACTCATGATAGGGTGCTTTGTGCATGTGCGTGTTATGAAACTCTTTCTTTTACAGTAGGATGTTTGAAAATAAGGAAAACAGAGAAGTTTCTGCTGTTCTTTTTGCTCGAAAAACCTCATAAAGAAAAAAATGTAACTTTTATTAGACTTTCTGATCCAAGCTGAAATTATGCTGGTGGAAGTGTTCAATAGCTCAGTGTTCAGGCAATGGCTTGCAAAAAACAAAATAATCACAAGTCTCAGGTCTTTTTGCTTTGCTGTTTCTATGGAATTTCTTACAGGGGTTTCCTATACTTGCAGATTTTCCTATGCTGTAGGTTTTCCTATTGATTTTTCTATAGGGTCCTGCCTCCCTGCTCCCCCGACGGCGCCTACACAAACAAATGGACCTCTCCTCTGTTGGCTCCTGGTCGCCCTTGCTGCAGCCTGAGACGTGGGGGACAGAGTTTGCAGTCTGTTTTTTAAAAACAGACCCACTGAGATAAGGGTCGCTTTGCAGCCAGGGCATTGCCTGCACCCGGCAGCGCAGTCAGGTTTATGGGCAAACATATTGCAGCTCTTGGGCGGTCTGTGTGTTTGTCCCCAAGATGCAAAGTCCTTTTGAAACTTTTGTTTTCTTTCTCTCAACCAGCACACATGATTTGCCGACCCTTTTGGTAGCACTTAAAATATTTGTGCTGTCCTCTAGCCACAATGGCCATATAGCCCTATTTTCCTGTGACATGTCAGCTGGGACAAGGCTGCCCTGTTATAACCTATAACATCTGTGGCCAACAACAGGCCAACAAGTCCAGATTCCAAACAACTGACACATGGTTTGTTCCTACTCCAGCATCTGGATTAATTGCATCGCCCCTTCATTTGGTTCTGTGCCCTCATTCTCTGAACCAGCTCTGCACTGCTGAGCCATGGCTCAAGCAATTGAATTGCTGGTTTGCTTCTAATATCAGTACTATTGATACCAGCTCCTGCAGGCTTTGACTGGCTTCTGACCTTAGTGATGCTTTATCAACCTCCTGGGGAAATCGGAGCAACTTAATGGAGTCACCCAGAGCAAATTAAATCTAACCATCAGGACCTCAGGAGTGCTGAGGTACCTGTAGACCAACTCCAGTTTTAAGATTTTAAAAATGACATTTTAAGTGGTCTTGCAGCAAAAGAATGAAGCTAAACAGCTATGAGGTTAATTTTTGAAAGCACAGTTGAACTGAAGAAGAAAATAATCGATGTGCTGTGAGATAGACAGACCAAATGGGAGCTTTGTTTTGCAAAAAACTTAGATATAATATGCTTCCTTCCTAAAAACTCTGTAAATGCATTAGCGGCAGTCTTAAGGGAACATGTTTCTGTGCTGTTGCCATATCTTTTGGTGGGTTTTTGGACATTGATTGCTTTTCTGTCATGTGTCCCCCCTGTGTTAATGCTTTCTTTTTCACTCTCTTCTCCTTTCTTACCCTCTCAAAGGTTTTGTATCTGGCAGCTCCTCAGACTCCTCTCTGTTAGGAAACCTAATGGCAAAGATTGCAATAAAGTGCTGAAAGGCTTCCAGACTAGAAATGCTCCAGTTTTCATTAGAAAGCACAAAACATGAGTGGTGCCTCATGAGAACTTCTGGTTTCCAAGGAGAGGAGCCAACTGCACAAGCGACAATGATGCAACCCAGCATGGAGGAAGAAGTGAGGGTGCTCTCGAGTGAGACTGCAAAGAGCGTAAACACGACTGACTACAACTGCTTGGCAAGCAGTCCTGTTTGTGCCACTAGCCGGACACAGGGTAGCACCTTCTGCCTGCAAGGATAGGGCAAACTTAGGAGGTACTTTTCCATGCACTCTTTTTGTGGTCCAGTCCTTTGTAAATCGGGGACTTTCCAACCTAGACGTAATTTCTGTGAATTCAGAAGCACTCATTGAAAATCCAGCTTTACTGTGAAATGACAGATTTGTGACATGCCCAATATCCTGGCACAACAGGCTTAGCTGCAGTTTGAGTGAAGAACCACAACCCTCAGCTTCCTAGTTTCTGGTCATGCCACATAGCCTCCATCCTACCTCAGCCACCTCTTTTCCCACAGGAAGAAGTTCAAAATTTCTCAGCTCTTCCTGCTCCAGAAGGCCCAGCACAGCAATGATGACATGTGTCTATAGAGACATTTATTGGAAAGATACAAAAATAAGGTGTAAATTTTAATAAGCTGTACTTAAACATGCCTCAGGCACTTAGTTCCACATGTGTTACTTGGTGGGAGACGAGCCCAGAAGACTGACAGCATGGCCTGATTCCCTGATGTGTGCAAATCCACAAAGCAAAACAAAGTCTCAATCCCAGAAACAGCTTACAACCATTTTTCTGCACATCTTTTTGGTCCCTTTGCTTCCTAAGCCTCTGTCAGGTCTGCTGTGCTTGACAGCAGCTCTTACCAGTGTGGGCACATCAACCAGTCACTGCAAACGTGGAGCAGGGCTCTGTGTAGACACATCTGCAGAGTCCACTTGAAATGTCTTCTGCCCTGCAGAGTAGCCCTCAGCTCACACTCTCTGGGAAGACAGAGCCTGTTCCCCGTCTCGTTATGCTGATAATGGTAGTAAATACGTGCAGTATCGGATCACTTAGGTTAATACAGAATAATTGTATAAATGAGCATCTCAGGTCTTCAGCTGTCTTCCTGTTGAAGTTGTTTCCAGTCAAAAGTTCCATCCAAAGTTAGATCAAAATTTTCTTTCTCTTGCTCTCGGGAGAGTTCCAAAAATACCTGAAATGATCAATATACAACTCTAATTACTCCTCTGACACTCACTAGACACTTCAGTGTAGCTTTATAGGAGATACAGCTCTGCAGCTCCCATGAGAGGTATGTGAAGTAGCTTTAGGAAGTGAGGAACTGATAGGGTGGCTGACACAGCTGCCAAGAGGTGCAACAGCAGACTGCTGCTTTTTTTTTTTTTTTTTTTAAAAAAAGATTAAAAAAACAAACAAACAAACAAAAAAAAACATTTTTTCACCACTTAGATTCCCTCAGAGTAATCCTCCACCTGACACACACCATGAGCGTGGACAGCAGAGCCATCCTCCCACCACTCCAGACAATTTCTCTGAGGACCATCCTCCTGCTCTGGCCACTCTGCAACTTTCTATCCTGTGCATCGTTTACAGCATGCCTAGTTTTGAAATCACGCACCTGGGCCAAAGTGTTCAAGGAGAAGCTGTACTCCTCGAGGTTGAAGGTTCTTTTGGCTGTGGAGAAGTAAAAAGAGAGTTGGAATTTCCCATACGGTGTTTTCTTTTCCAAAAAAGTTATCGTGTTTTGCTCTTACCTTCCTCTAGCTTGGTGAAAGACTGCGACAGGGGCAAGGCATCTTCCATTGGGACTTTGTAGACTAGCAAAGATGGAAACCTGGAAGAAAAAAAAAGTAAAAGTGACTCTTGTTCTGTTTGGAGCTTCTTAGGTTAAAAGTTTAACTCACAATATGGAGGTGAACATTTTACTGCATGAATTACAGCAGGGTTGGACCAAGTGATATTATCTAATCAAATCCCAATGCAGAAACTTGGATCCAACTATCTCTCTCAACCTGAGAGATCCTGTATTTGATCATTAAATTGAGTACATTTTTAGGGAGGAGGCAGTGGTGCAGCCACCACTCATGCTGTATTTTATAGTTACCGCTCCTGACGGGCTGCACTTGGGAAAATCCTCAAAATCTCAGCATGCAGAAGATCAGTGCGCTCTGTGTCCTTGACTTTAATTTCCAGTACGTAACCTTTGCCAAATTTGTTTTTCAGGTACTGAATCGAGCCAATGCACCTGTAGCGGAGGCAGGAAGCTCAGTGAATGGACAAAGATGCCAGCACAGGGTGCAATGAATCCTTTGATTCCCAACCATCTGGTCACTCCCAACTGCTCCTCTCAGTATTCCAACTACGGGAAGCATTTGAAGTGCACAGCGGTGGACTCAAGCTGGGGAGACCAGAGGAGCACCCCTGCTGCTCCATGGACCAAAGAAGAGCAGAGAGGTGCTCCGTGGCCACGAAGGGTGAGCAGCCATGCACGGCGTTGTGTGCTGCAGCCTACCGTAGCCGCCCGGACACCATGATGGCCACCCGGTCGCACACCGCCTCCGCCTCCTCCATGTAGTGCGTGGTCAAAATCGCTCCCTGCTCCTTGTTTCTCACTGCAGCACGGATCATTTTCCTGAGGATACAAATAGGGGAAAAAAAGCTGACACTTCCAAATCATGTCAAATGTTTCTTATTATACCTTTGTTTTTAAACTTGACACAAGCCCTTTCATAGATTCTTCTGAAATCCATGTATAACTCTCATGAAACCAAATTGCCTACGAGGCTGAATTCACAACACAGTTTTCCTTCACTTTGCATAGACTTTAAGGTCAAGAGAATCAGGAAAGCAGACTTTCCAGCAATGCCGTTGACAAGCAGCCAACCAGCAGTAACCATAGGTTGGGTAAACCTCTCTCTGCTTGTCTCAGGGCACTTGCTGTTGGCTTCCAACCCCTTTGCCCTTCAGAGTGGTGCCTGGGGCACTACTCACCAGACACGGCGCTGCCCGTTGGGGTCCATGCCGGTGGACACCTCGTCCAGGAGCAGGACCGTGGGGTTGCCCAGCATGGAAACTGCAAAGCACAGCTACAACAGGAAAAGACTTTTGAGCCAGATTTTATGGGGTGCAAGCACCTCTGGGCAGCATTTAACTCACTTTATCTATGAGAACCAGGGTTCTGATTTGTAGGAAACATAGACTTGGAAAATATCTGCTTACATCACCTTCAAATTGTATTTTCCTTATTTTCTGACACAGGAGCTGTGCCAGTTGGTCGCAAAATCATGCAGACCAACCTTGTCATCTGCATCTTCATAAACAGAAATAACTCTACCTTTCACAATAACTGTAATTGGAAGAAATTAAGTAATTTGGCAAACACGCTATGAAAGAACCGCTGACACAGGGACATAGTTGTCGCCAATCTGACACAGAACAGACACATGTCAAAGCCCTCTATTGTCCACCCAGGAGGCTCTCTCAGGTAACTCGGAACACAGGTATGACCTACTGCTCACCGAACTAAATTTTCATTCATTCTAGCAACAGTGCAGAACTCACTACAGAAAAAAAACAAAACACACCTTCCTGTTTATCCCAGTGGATAATTTTCCGGTTGATTTTTTTAAATACTCCTGAAGCCCCAGGGCATTCACTATTCTGTGGGGAAAGGGAAGAAAAGAAGAAAAAAACCCATCATTTTATTATTCCTAGTTTCACTCTCTTACCTGTGAACAGTAAGGAAAAGGAACTTTCTTCCCCCTGCCTTTTTGTTCCTGCTTATTTTCATTAAACCTGGGAATTTGTCATCAAAATGTCTCTTTTTTAAAAATAACCATTACCACGAATAGCATTATAAAGCCATTCTACCTTGCCTGTGTTAGTTGAACAGGCAATACTTAAGCACCCTTCTTGTGGTGCCAAATAGAAAGTCAGAGGTTTTAGAAACCCTTCTCGCATATAAAATACTAAAAAGGATGTTAGAGGCAAATTTATCACCACAAAATGTGCATAGGTGAATGGGAGATTTTCCTGACCCACTCATTCCATCAAGGTAGAGCGCTAAAATATTCTTACAGAATAATTTCCTGAGTTGGTTTCAAATGCTGTTGCTGCCCCACAGTGAAATTTGATGTTCTGTTTCCCTCCCCGTTCCCTTGGACTGGGGAAAAAAATGTTCCCTGGCAGCTGGAACCACCTCTCCGTACCGGTTGACAGCGGCAGCCACGTCCTCCTTCCTCACCCCTTTCACGGCAGCATAGGCCTCCAGGTGCTCTTGGACCGTGAGGTTCGGCCAGAGTGGGTCCTCCTGAGGGCAGCACCCCAGGAAACCCGGTGTGTGGTCCTGAAGGTGGGAGCTTGCTCCATCCCTCTTCAGCATCAGCACCTACACAACAGGACACTTTCTCTGCTCTCAGATATCCCTTCCCACAGACAAGAGCACAGTTCAAAGGAAGACTATGGGTTCCTGGGGAAGGAAACCCAAAGCACAAAAGATTGATTTTGCAACCCTCAATTATATAAATACAAGCAAAGTAAATTAGAGGAGAGGGATCCCTTCCAAAATTTAGCTAGGCTACTCAGGGTAAATCAGCCTCCAAAGATGCCAATTTCTCTCCATGGACTTTAGCTTTTAGACTTTGATTTAGATTTTAGTTCAATTTCTAGCTGTCTAACATTGATTAAGATTTAAACAGGTATGTAGAAGAGTTACAAGTCCATCACCTCCAACAAACAGCAGTCAGAAATGATTTGCAATATTTTACATAAATAATTTTAAGGGCATAATGCATTTGGCTAAAGCCTCAAACCCTGACATTGTTAGGACTGAAAATGATTGCTCAGCCCAGCAGTGTAATATAGCTATTGCTTAGCTTTGCACATGCATGTCTATTGAGACTCTGCCCTTGCCTCCAGCCCACAGGTGCCTCCTACCTGCCCAGCAGTCAGTGTCGTCTCTCCAGTAATCATTTTGATAGCTGTGCTTTTACCTGCTCCATTGGGCCCCAGAAGTCCTAATACTTCTCCTGAAATCAATATGCACCATTTCTTAGTAAGACTTACCATTCAATAAATGTATCAGGAGCAATCACCATAAAAAAAGATGTAAATTACAACGATCTTGTAAAAATAAACAGCAATAGAGAGACCATGCTGAGAGCCCCTAAATTCACAATTTTATACAGCTGATGAATCTGAGCGCTGATCCGCATCATTTGAAAACCACTGCTGAAGTGACTTGTGTAGGGGGGTTATGTAAGTTTAGATAATATAGAGTCCATGGTAACAAATATGCAGTATTCCCACTGTTTCCTAATGCACCAGCCACAGACCAGAAAAGTGAGTATATTTGACCTTTATGTCCTTGTTCAATAACTGAGACACTCTAATGAATTAACTTCATAGGGGTCGTTAAAATAGTTGTAGAAGAATAGTACCAATTCTTACCTTTTTTCACACAGAAGGAGACATTTCTGGTTGCCATTTTCTTTTTCTTCTTAAATACAGAATCAGCTTTCTTTATTTTATATTCCTTGCATAGATTGCTGACAACAACAACAGATTTCTGAAAGTGAGGCGAAAGAAGAAAAAAATAGTGTAATGTAGGTAACATATTGGTAATATAGGAAGGAAAACTTCTTCCTCCAGAAGACCTTTGAATTCATTTTCTAGTTCTCTGAGAATATGACTGTCCTCTTAAAAGTTTTCTTCTCTAGACTGATGGGACCCCTGACTTGCCTTACTGATAACTTAAAGTTTGCCAGCAGGATTCTTACTAATACAAAATAGAGAAAGATAAAGTTTTACCTCATCCAGACTTGGAGATGCTATGGCATTTCTCACTGCTGTTCTTTCAGCTTTAACATCTTCGTCTTCTTCTTCTAGCTCCTCGGAGTTCTGGTGCCTGTTCTCTTTTCCTGGAAAAATCCTGCAAGTCCAACAGGTCCCATTTAGTTCTCCACCAATGTATTTTGGATAGACCAGAGATGAATGTCCCTCTGGTTCAATGTTTCTTGCGTTTTCTATTGTATATTGTAGGGCTTTCTGTACTGGACAAAGTAGTGGGTTGCTATGTCCACACAATTACAGGCAAATGAAGATGCTAACAAGCTTGGAAACCACTTAATATTACTATTTACTGTAGTATTTAATGGGCTATTTTGGTTATAAAAAATCATTGGTATTAAAAAAAATAGGGACAAAAATAGGGACGAAGACAACAATTTATGTCTAAAAAATTGTCTTCAAGGAAAAGTTGTGTAGCATGAATTGATATCTCACATATGTGGTGCATATGCATTTATACAAACCTAAATATTGGGTCCTTTCTCAGAACTGGTCTTCCATATTTTATCTCCAAATACCGAAGTAGAAAAATGAAACCCACAGAATGGATGTAAGGCTGAAAAAAAGAGGTTGCCCCATTAAGAAGAGCTTTGCCTTCTGCCCTGCTACGGCTGAAAAGATGGTGACAGTGTTAGAAAGTACGTGAGGAAAAACACAGTATGTGAAAATAAAGTCCATTAACATCTACACTCGAGCTAAATCCCGAAGGCCATGAACTTTGCTAACACTTATTAATACTACAGAAGATATCACTTGTAAAAAGAGAAACTCAATTTGTAAAATAACAAGAGAGCATTAAGACACATTGTGGGCTTATTTTGCTTTCCTTTTACCATTTTAAAACAACAAAATTTTTTTTTGTGCAGGTGTGTAATCGGTCATCCATATTTACAGAGCTTTCATGTAATATAAGCTCAGCTTTCTTGCCTCCCTTCCTCACAAGTGAAGATGTGCCAGCAATTAGTGCTTTCTGAATGGATGAACTGCAGTTTGGGTCTGTGCCCACCCTGAAGCTGTTGGGAGATGCTCCATCCCAGGGCAGCTGCTGATCCAACACAAAACTTCTGCCATGTTAAGCGTTGGGGAATTGTACACGCGTTTACATTCAGCATCTTTTAGGAAATGGGCATTCCTAAATAAAGGTAATCTTAAATGTTTTCTTACTGCAAAGACAGCTGTTAGTACATCATGGATTGGAGGTGCCAAGGTTATTCCAGAATCTTCTAGAAAAATCTATAAGAATAAAAAAAATATAAAATGAGGATGTGATTCTTTAGACTTAGACATTAGACTGGCTAATGTGGAACAGTTAAGTACAAACATCGACTACTTCAGAAATATACAAGCCTTGTGATTTCTTCAAAATGTTCAAAACACAGATGAACAAACTCCAGAAATCAACACAGTGCTAAATGAAAGCCTCTCCTATTTAGGAATACTGGTCTATCATGGGAAAACATCTGTTCTCCTCTCCTTTGGCTTCCCAGTGGAGAAGTGGAGGGAAACAAAGATGAAGAGAGTCTCCTGTTTGGACTTACGCTCTTAAGTCATTTATAGCACAGACTTGTGCAGCTGGAGGATTTTGCTAAATTAATAGCTGCTTTTCCAGTACCACCTCTCAGCTGACATGGAGCAAAGCAGTTTGCTCTTAATTTTCGCTCTGTTCACATGCAAAGTCAGAGAAAAAAAAACCTTATATTTTCTTTTATGATTATTCAAGCCATATTTTCTTTTATGATGTTGAAGTGAATTAAAGGTGCTTGCCCAATCTGTAGCCGTAGCTCAACTGCAAGAGAAGTAGCCTGTAGCAACAGTGAGCAGTTGGAGAGGCTGTAACTTTGTTGAAATGGTCATTGAATGATGCATTCTGGTGACTTGAGAAGCCCCAGCAGTAGGAATCATAGAATCATAGAATGGTTGAGGTTGGAAGGGACCTCTAGAGGTCATCTAGTCCAACCCCCGGAACACACATGGTCACCTAGAGCACGTGGCACAGGACTGCGTCCAAGCGGGTTTTGAAGATCTCCAGAGAAGGAGACTCCACAACCTCTCTGGGCAGCCTGTTCCAGTGCTCTGGCACCCTCACTGTCAAGAAATTTTTCCTTAAGTTCCTGTGGAACTTTTGATGCTTCAGTTTCTGGCCATTTCCTCTAGTTCTGTTGATGGCCACCACTGAAAAGAGGCCAGCACCATCCTCCTCACTGCCTCCCTTGAGGTACTTATAGACACTGCTCAGGTCCCCTCTCAGCCTTCTCTTCTCCAGCTGAACAGGCCCAGCTCCCTCAGCCTCTCCTCATAGGGCAGACGTTCCAGGCCCCTGATCATCCTTATAGCCCTGTGCTGGACTCTCTCCAGCAGCACCACGTCCCTCTTGTACTGTGGAGCCCAGAACTGGACACAATACTCCAGATGTGGCCTCACCAGGGCTGAGTAGAGAGGCAGGATTGCCTCCCTTGACCTGCTGGAGACGTTCTTCTTGATGCACCCCAGGAAGCACCTCAGGAGAAAACTAATGACTCCTCCTAATCACAAGTTTGCAATTACCATGAGATTTTGCCTTAAAGAATACCTGCTTTTGTTTTATGTACAGATATATCTTGTAGCTCAGCACCATAACTTACATAGTAGCAGTTGATGACGAAGCCCAGCAGTGGATATGTAGGAAATAAGAGAGGCGTGATATGCAGGGAAATGCTAGAATCCACTGAGAAATCCACAATTCTGCTGATAACAAAAGAAACCAAACCTACCTAAAAGAGAAAAAAGGCAACTTAGCTGACAGGAAAGGTTACACCTCTTCACCAGTGGTGAGAATTGCATACATTGATGTTTTTACTTCCCTGTTGAATTTCTGGCAATGGTCAATGAGAAAGAGACCAGAAAAAATGAGGGTTCAGGAGCTCCTTGGCCGCGAGAGCTGCTGCTTCAGATCTGCTGGGGAGACTCCTCCCCAGACACAGGCCTGCTTTGGACAGAAGGACAAGGTCCGTGATCCTTTTCTTCCCCAATCCTGGTTTATGCCTAATATTCTACCTCTTTTGATATCAGACTTAGACTTTCTAATCCGACAACTTGTGTCTCAAAGCTTGTGTTGTGCAGTCATGAAGCATTGAACAGAGTGATAAATAACCTTCCTGACTTCCAATCCTGTACCAGTTCAATATGCATCCCCCATGGCAGCTTAATGGCAGCTTAATCAGCATCAGCATCAGCAGCTTAAGCTGCTCATGGCAGCTTAATCAGAAGAAGGGGAACTATGTGGATTGCTCCATGGCTCTTCCTGGGACTGGCTGCCTTGTTCCTACTTCCTTAACTAATCACCCAGCCATGCAAAGTGGACCCCTTAAGTAGGCATCCTGGGTACAGCCTGGTTGAAGCTGGTTAAATAATAGACCAGAACCATAGGAGTTCCCCATTGGTTTGGTTTTGCAAACTTCACCATGAAGGAAACACTGGACAGGAGAGAAAGAATTGCAGTATCTGCAATGAATGATCTAAACTATCAAATGACTTCTCATTTCTAGAGAGGTGAGAGCAAAAGGCTGGGGGGAAGTAGTGAGACTGACACTGAACAGAAAAAGATGAGTTTGATATAGGATTGCCTACATAAAATACATGTCCTTATCTATATCCTTAATGTACGTTTGGTGTTTTGGCTTCTGATTCATCCTTAAGAGCCCCAGATATACTTTTGCAAACTCTGCAGTACATCATCCAGCTGTATACTTACCACTATCAGGATAAAAGACCAAAAATCACAGTTCCATCCTTTGCGAAACAGGAAGGAGATTAAATATACAAGGAGAACAATAGACATTCCATAGCCAAAAATAGCCATAACCTGTAGTGAAAAAGCTTTCATTAGAGAAAAGGGAGTGTGCAAAGAACAAGAAAACCATGCACATCATTGCGGTTCAGAGCATTGAGAAAACACCGCAATTACTGCTGAGTATAAAGGACTCCAGTCCTTTCACTCCGCAGAAAGTCCATCGGAATGATATTTACCAGCAAACAGAAGACACCAGCACTCCCAGAAACTTTGTTACTCATTGCAAACTGGAGCCCAAACATTGAGAAGAGAAGGAGCCAGCTCAGAGGGATGTCCACCAGTGCCTGGCCACACCAGTAGGCTGAGGGCAGGAGCCCCGAGATCCGCAGCTGGGAACGAGCTCCTGCCTAGGGACACACATGGAAAAGAGCAGGATCCCAGTTGGCCAGTTACACCCTTTGGAACAACTCTATGAAATATAAACCAGGGTTGTTTTTTCCATATTACCACCATAATATTATTCATTTCCTGGTTGTGCTTCTCACTGGAGTGACCTACACATTTTTAGCTTGCTGGGGTTAAATTCTAGTCCTTTTAGTATTTTATTATTCTCTGCTAAATGCAAAACTGCTTATCTTTATTGTTAAAGTTGGAAGGAATCGCTAGAGATCATCTAGTCCAAAATATGTCTATCTAAAGAAAAATATTTCAAACAGCATGTCACATTCAAGTACCTAGTGACAATACAGTTTAAAGCCCTTCTTCCCACCCACAATTTGCACCATTTCAAGAATTACCTTGTAATCTTGCAAGTAGCCCATTGAAAAGTGAGGAGGGAAACCAGGGAATAAGATCAGCATATAAGCGAGGTAAAAAGAAAGAAAATAATCCCAGTATCGTGCATCTATCTGAAAACAGAAGAAAAAAAAAAGTAGAAAACACTACGTCATAAGAGATAGACACCATGATTAATCTTACTGCATTTTCATGATTTAAAATACATTACAAACACAAAATGGGATACTGAATATTATGGGGCCGGGGAGAGAGCCTTTTATTGATAGACCTGAACTCTCAGCTACTATATGTGATGGATTGGTTCCCACCAAAGATGCACTTATGCAGTTTCTGGTTCAGAGGTGGTTTGCATCCAGCTATTTGAAAGCAGGGGCAGAAGCTGGGCAGTTGTGCAAGGGCACATATTGAATTTATCCTTAGAATCACTCCTGAAATCAACTGTGCTTTTTCCATATCTACCACATGAATGTGTATAGACAACCTCATGTGTCGCTTCCTGTTATTGAAACCTCAAGTAGTTTTAAGACAAGTTGTTTGGCACATTCTGGCTCTCAGACTCCAACACTTACACTGAAAAAGGGGTGACTCCAAATCCGAATATGTTCAGTGGAATTGAAAGTTCTCAACAGAGCATTGCTAATGATGTTCACGAGCACGGGAAAACAGTTGATAGCCTCCATGTGACATAATACGGTAAACCTGTAGCTCTTAAAAGAGCAAGGAAACAAGATGAAGTCCAAGGCTTTATTTTATTTTATTACTGCAGGGAAATAGTAGAATCAAATATACTGGGAAAATCCAGAGCTGAATTAATTTTACCTATACCTTAGCTCCTAAAAAACCTCAAGTTAGTAGATACTAGAAGTCTGTATAACTACTATAACTATATTACAAAAATAGTAAGGTTTGGGGAGGAGAATTGGAGAGATGAGACCCCCTCTAGCATGTGGTCTACTCATTAGAACACTTCCAATTCTTTATACCTGTGTCTTATTTTTTAGGACCATCACATAGTTTTAACAGAATTGATAGCAGCAATTTGCTTAATTATTAAATTAATGAGAAGAAATAAAGGAAAAGAAAAATCCTTACCTGCCCTTCTCGAGACACTTTTATAGCCCCGTTATGTTCTAGCTCCTCTGTGATATTTTCCTCGCTTCTTATTTCCACTGTTAGATCTTGACGTTCTAGACTGTGGATAAAGTCTTCGATACCTGATCCTAGCATGAATGCCAAAAGTGGAGGAGTCAAAATATTGAACTATTAAGTACTGAGTGAAACTGTCCTGCCTTTTTCTGAATCCATGACTACCAAACAAAAACAGATAAAAATCTAATGACTGCAAAATTCAGACAGCACCTATGAAGTAGGTCTTTGCACTTTTTGTGTAGTGGACGGATTCTGGCCTCAGTAACTGAAAATTTGCCTTGTAATTTTTTGAATAGAAAATGATGCTGATCAGCCCATTTTTTTTTCCACGCACCTGTTTTATTGAGGATGAGCAGGGTGGTTGTCTCCGAGTGAGCCTTCCTGCCAAGTGGGAGAAAATATTGCGCAGGTAACAGCTCCCAGGCACTTACACCTTGCCATGCAGCAACCAGGGCCATTTGCAAAATAATAGGAATCAGAAAAACCACATAGAGCAGCAAGCTGCAATGAGAAAGATACGAATAAAATTTCTGAAGACAGGCATTTTGCAGATTGAATTTCTGTATTGGAAATAATATACTATGTTTAGCTTATTGAACAACTTTGCTGTTAAAATATTTTAGCTATTTTGTTTTTAGAAGTTCTAAAACCTTGATCATCCAGAAGAGCCCTGAAAACTCAGTGGGAAGGCCTCAGATCTAAGCAAGTCGTGTTTTAAAGCCATGAAATCCCCTTCACACTTGCCTAAGACGTAAGTTTTTCCTAAATCAGCATTTCCTCTCTGTTTCTTGTGCCCGCCAGGAAAAGCTGGCATACTGAACTGAAGACCAACAAGTCAAATGCCTTCAGACACAGGATGAGCGATGTTAAAAAAAAAAATAGAGGAAGTTTGAAAGTAGTATTTTTTCCTCCTTTCTTTTAATACCCAACTTTATTTTCAAATCTCCTCTCTCACCCAAAACTGTTACTGAATGACTCTCTTCTGCAGAAAGAAAATGGGGTTGCTATTGCAGATATCACTCCATGTAGGAAAGAAAATGCACAAAAGAAAACGGGTATCAAAATTGCTAAAAATTAAGTTTTGGCTGAAAAACCCCAATGATTCATTCACAGCTATGACCTGATTTCAGTTACTCCAAATGTTAATTGAAATGCATCTGTGAAAACTGTCCCTACCCTGCAGCAACCATGCTGCTCACAGCATGCTCAGGCTGCGAAAGGGAAGAGCTTTGGTACTTACATTGACCCGAGGTTTTTCAACGAGCTCTTAAGCGTCAAGAGATGAACCCGTGCCATGGCACAGACCTGCTGCCTCCAGAGAGCCATGCCGCTCGCCGTCGCCTCTACGACATCCGAGAGCAGGACACCCTGCTCCAGCTCATCCAGGGACCTCGCTCCAGCCTCTGCCCGGTCCTCACCAAAGGCATGGTCATCTACAGAGAGTTTTCAATGTGCGCTTATTTGGGGTCAGATTTTGCATTGTAATGTGTGGAAAAAATAAGAGTACCCTAAATAGTGAACATGTTACAGCATGGCAAATGCTGCAGTAAAGCAGCATTTCTCTTCATCTGAGAAGAGTTTATTTTGGAGGCAGCATTGTACCTTCTTGATCAACTGTGGTATCTCCCTCCAGCTTTAGGAAGACATCCTCCAGCGTTGTCATGTGAACTCCATAGTTGATAATTCCCTGGTCAGAGCAACTGTCAAGATGACTGAACAGATCTGCAGGACAGAAAGAATATAAGTGTCTTCAGGGTAGTCAAACAGAAGCACACATCTGCTCTGAGGCCACTGAGTTTCCTCACCAAGGTTCACCATTGCAAACAGAAGATTGGTGCTGTGTATTTTGATCTTAAATGTTTGGAAGTTAAAATTGTGAGAGGGGCCAAAGCAGGGAATAAAACACAATAATTCAAAAAAAGTCCTTATTTGACTCCCACAGAACTTCTTCCTCTCCATTTCTCTCGCCCTACATTTCTGATAACTTGCCTTTTTATGGAAACTCCCAATTATTTTAGTATGCATTACCTGGGAATTTGTTCACATTCTCCAATGGCAGTTTATATTGCAGCTCATATTGACGGTGTCCTGAGAATACAGCATTTGGGATGTGCTGTTTAACCAGAGCTGTAACATTCTCTAAGTCACAAGACTCACTGACATGGATCCTGTTCAATTTTTAAAAAGTAAATGGTTAATTTTGAGGAAAACCACTGTATTTCCAGGATCTGTTAAATCAAAAGCTCAGCATACTTCACTTGGCCCTTACTTTAGCGGGAAATTATGTTACTGCTTGCTAGGGCTTACATAGATACCTTAAATGGTAGCCGATTCCCCATTTTTTCTTCAAGAACAGAGAAGAACCAATACACTTTAGCCTCCCATGTGAGATAAAAGCCTTGCGATCTAAAGAAACAAAAAGCCAAGAAGTTTATACTGTAGAGCAGGGACTCAAAACCCTTTGGTGACTGAGCCTAATTTGTGAAGATCAATGTTGTGGGGCCCGTTCCCTTTTTCCCAGCCCTCTAACATGCCCTTCCTGGCCTCTGACACCCATACAAAGCATGGTGCAGTAAATACAGAAGCGTCCATCTCCTGACATGCCATCCTCAAATTCAATTCCAGCTGGAGGACACGTCTGCTGGAGCTCAGTCATGTGAACCAAGAGTCTTAAAATGGATACATGCAGGAAAAAAGCTAGAGAACTTAATTCCAATAGCATTTACAGTGAGCTTGGATGTAGTGCGTATCACCAGGGAAGCAGAACAAATGCTCTGCATTGCTAAGGAGGGTTTTTTATTACCCTAGCAAAGCTCAGTCTTGCTGTCCTTGTTGACCTGGAGCTTCTGTTAAGGATAGCAAGTGCCTAGTGCTGTTAGTGCCAGCAGAAACATTGCTGTGCATTTAACAGGATCAGGACTTCATCCCAGGTAGTTCAGCTTGGAAAAGAACATGGTGCTCAAGACTTACTCTGGAGAGAAGCTTCTGTCTGAGCCTGAGCTTACCTGCGAGGATATCGGCCTCGTCCATGAACTGGGTGCTGAACAGAATCACTCGACCCCTCCTGTGCTCCTTGAGAAGGCTCCACACTTGATACCTGGAAAGGGGATCCAACCCAGCCGTTGGCTCATCCAGCAACAAAACCTGCAAAAGGAAGATATGCTTGTGATTTTACTATCTTTGAGGTATAATCATAAGAGTTTTAAAAGGCCTTGAAATCATGGATGAGCTTGCAGTTATGTCCATGCATAACATTTTAGTTAGGCTGGACCCAGCCTTCCAGTATTACACAACTGCCCCTGCTTCTTTACCTGGGGGTTTCCAAGCATGGCTATTGCAATGGATAACTTTCGTTTTTGCCCACCACTCAGTTTCTCAGCTTGAGTGTCTTGAATGTTGCTGATATCCAGTAATTCCAAAATGTTTTTCACCTAGAAAAGCACAAGAAAGTCCATTACAAGCCTCAGTATTCCTTTGGTCCTTTTCTTTAGACATGAAGGGGAACTGATTGAGCCTGAAGGTGAAATTTCTGCATGTCCTTACTGAGGGTGAGCTATACACACTGACCATACTGTTGGCGAGAGTGCTAGTAGTACTCTACTACTCTATAAAGTAGTACTAGTACTGTGCAATGGTGCCTTTTAGGAAAATATGCCCACTCACCTCATGTTCTACATCTTTGGACTTGATGCCCTTGATTTCAGCAAATGTCTGCAAATTTTCTTTCACTGTTAAAACTTCAAACTGGACATTGAATTGTGGGCAGATGCCAATCATCTCTCTAATTTCTTTCCTGTCTTCCATTTCAGACAAGTTGGAGTTGTATATGGTGGCAGAACCTGTTCACAGGAATGGACACAGTAAGGTGGAATAAACTCTCTTTGCACACAGATTTTAATTCAAGTCCACCTTGATTTAACCATTTCACCTCTTGACATCCTACCTTCAGAAGGCAAAGTAAGTCCGCTGAGCACGTTTAACAGTGTTGTCTTCCCAGCCCCGCTGTGACCAAGTAAGGCAGTGATCTGGCCCTCATAAATGTTTAAAAATAAACCTAGAATAAAACCATTAGTTTTTTTTGGGGGGGAGGGGGGAGATTTACTTCATTTTTCTCATTGTCATAAGCAATAGCAAGACAAATCAAGAAATATAAAAACTAAGTAGAAATAATCCATCAAAAGTGCATTATACGAACTGAGGGATAAAGCTTTGCAAGTTTAATGCTAAATTCATAAGAAGTTGCTCTGTATTTAATAGAGAAGACAGAAATACAACAACTGAAGAAAAAAGCTTTTGTTCTCTCTACATGTTCAGTAAAAAGAGAAAGGCAATCTCTAGAAACTGAACAAAGTAGCAGTCAATTGCATCAATTATTATTCTAGATAATTTTTCAAGCAATACAATTATTGCTGTTTTACTTTGATTGAAATGTTTGCACAATTATTCTTCTTCGTCTTTAACAGGAATCAGTATCACAGCTTTCATACCTCTTAAGGCTTCTGTTTTCTTATCCTTCTGCTTATAGACTTTTTTAATATTGATGAGTCTAAAAAGAAGGTAAGAAAAATATCACTTCTGGATTACCATTAATACATTTCCCTTTTATGTATTTTTATGGGTCTTAACTCTCAGTACCTTATGTATTTTCATGTAATTTCTGTCTTTTTAAACAGATATTGGGGCTCAGTAGGATTTTGCACAAACATGAATGTGTACACAGATGGGAATATCATTATGTGGCATGCAATAACAAAGCACCAAGCCTTTCATGGACAAGGTCAAGCCCATTGCAACAGATGGCCCTTTCACTGCCCTTTAACTTCCCTAGTGAACCTTTAACAAAGTCCACAGCAAAAGAAAATAAACTCCCCAAAATCAAAAAAACAAGCAACTGTTTAATCTAATTTTCACCACTCGTGACTGGCCTGAATTACCTGTTTATCTCATATGTATTTTAACTCTAATTTTTCTCCATGAAATGCTCTGCAGAAATGTTATGAATATGCAAACTGTCTGGACAAAGCAACACAGAGCTGGTGGCAGGAGTAGGGGAAGTGTTAGTGGGAGCATTAGACCTGAGCTATCGAACTCAAACAGTGCCAATAGTAACTCCCTTTTACAACCTGATGGCCTCCTTCCCCATGAATTCGGGGGGCACAGGCTCTACGTCGTCACCGAGCAGCTCCTCGGGGCTCATTTCAGACTGGGGCCTCTTGCTGGTGGAGCTTCTCCTGCTCTTCATCCAGTATGAGGGCTTCAGGCAGAAGAAGGGGGGATTGGGGATGCCGTATCTGCCTAATGGAAAAGCAAAGAAAATGACCCATGATCAATCTAAAGCACAATCTAAGCACCATTCTGAAGGTCTAAAAATACCTGGCTGCCTCAAAATTTTGACTTTATGTTGCTAAAAAGAGAGTTTAGGAGGTTTTCATTAGGATGCATGAGATCTGGGTCAAGAAGGAGAGATTCAGGGCTGTTTCAGGCTGTTTTACTTAATGTATTAAGATATTGATACTTCACTGCCTTTGATTTGTCAATTACCAGGCTTGGGCAGGATTAGGAAAGTCACTCTGCAATATAATACTTTTTTTAAAAAACGAAACCTATGCTAATTCACACAACAGTGGAGCGTCCTCTCCTTCTCCTGAAGAGCTATTGCACACAATCCATATAAATCAAAAGTATACAGGAAAAAGTTGTAAGTACACGTTGTACTTACCAGGCAGAACTTTATCAAAGTAGATAGCTAACAGCAGATACAAGACAGAGTCAAAGATCAGCACAATGTAAGTTGAAAATAAAAAGTATGATTCCTCCATAAGGTTAGAAAAATAGAAACCTATCCCAAATTTTTCCAAATGGAAAATCTGAAATAAAGGACAAAGTAAAAGACTTTTTAGATTGAAAAAACATGAGGTTATGATCAAATTATGGATGCAATCGACTTGTTAACGCTAAAGTCTTTCAGGATGGCAACACTGATTTTTTTTTCTCCCTTTTAATTTCTAGTGAGAAAGGGAAACAGATTTACTCCACTCAGAGATCCTATGTTTCCATGCAGAATTTTCCAGAATAATCCAGAAACAGAAGAAAAGATCTGAATTTTATAGAATACAATATTGGATATAAGAAATGAGATATTGTCACACTTAGATAATTTTAACTATGTGCATAATCTAGTACAAAAATTATAAGAATTTTTCACAATAATTGGTTGCAGTGTAAACTGGTAGTAAACTAAGTGTATTTTCTGGTGGTGCACAATTCTGACATGAAACCAAAAGATGAAAGAACTGGCTCTCACTGGAGCCAGAAAACAGCATTCAAAGCTGCTGAAATGAGAATGAGAAATGAGGGTCATGACTTCCCATGTCTTTCTACCTCCAAAACACAGTAGGGCTTTTATTGCCATTATCTGTGATAAAATGCACTCTGCCTTCACCTCAAGACCACGCAAGCTATTGAAAAAGTTTGATTAGGGAGATAACACACCATACCTTGGCGATTCCAGCGTTAAACGCGTAAGGACAAAAGAGACTGAGAAACCACTGCATGGGTTCAGGAATATTTTCTACCAGCACTGCAAGGCTTAAGGATCCAAAGACAAAGATGAAGAGGAAGACGATGGATTCAACAAGCTTAAAAGTCCTTAGGAGGGAGGAGAGCAGGAAAGCAAAATGGACCTGTAAGAAATGGGAATTGTCCATTAGCAAGATGCATTTCCAATGCCACCATCCCCAACCTGAGGCATGGGACACAGAATCACAGTGCTGAAGGGGCTATTCTACTTTTGAAGTACTTCTGAGGTGTATCAGCACATACATGCAAAGCCATCTCATCAACAGAAGGAAAATAAATATCCTTAACTAGCAGCTCCCTGATGAGCTGAGTCCATGTAATAAAACAAATCAGAAAAGATCGTAGTGAGTAGATCTGAGGTTTTGTTTACAGCCAGTCTACTGCCTGCAGATCCTCAGACTGCAATCCAAATCACGGCCAGTTATGAAATACAACTGAGTCAGAGAGTATTTGCATTGGCAGGACCAGGGGAAAATAAGAGTTCTGAGCAATTGTGCAAGTGGCTCTGGAGTAGTGTTTAGGCTACTCAAAATATTAATAAATTACATGGTAAGAAAATCAAATCTGTCTTTAACATCCCCAACTTACACATGCCATGCCATACAGGAAAAATAGCAGTACAATTGCAGGGAAGCTGCTAAGGTAGAAAGCATCCTGCACGGTGATGGCTGTCAGCAAGCAGGACATGACCAGCACATAGACAGCATACAGCAAACTCCAGGAGAGCCTGAAGATGGAGAGATGAATGACATTATAACCTCTTTTTTTTTTTCTTAAGTAAAAATCTTTGTTTGAGCTTCATCTGCATGGGAGAACTATTCAAAAATATAATATTAAGTATATAAAATATAATATTAAAATATAATATTAAAATATAATATTAAAATATAATATTAAAATATAATATAATATAATAATCTCAGGGTATTATAGTACTAACTAGTTCCCAGTGCAAACTCATTCACATTCTACTTAGAGTAGGCAGCATGACTGACTTTAGGTGAAAATACCTCCAAAAAGAAGACACCTCCACCCTCCCTGACCCACTCAACCCTCAACTACGGTTTGTCCTTAGTGAACAAAATGAACTTGTGAACTCATTGTGCCAGTACCCAAGGGTACGCTGATTTTTGGTAAATAGGTACTTTAGTCATATTAGTTCTACTACTGAGGGACTCACCAAAATGCAATATCATGTAATCCCATCATCTTCATCAATGCTTTGAGCTTCTTCTTTTCTTTTACAATTTGCATTGATAAAAAATGCATGAATGCAGAGAAACACATCACGACAGTAATCATGAGATAACTGTACTCCAATGAGATTGAGGAGATGACACCCCGGGATTTCATACGGATACCAGCGATTGATTTCATTTCTTCCCAGACAGAATGATTTGCCACCCCCTAAAGGAATTCAAGGTAAGAATCCGTCATGCAGCGAGGTGTAGTTATGTACTGAACCTTCTGATTTATCAGCCCCTAAATCATTTTTTTATACACATCTATATAAAGCATGAACAAGTTTAGCAATAATCCCGTGGGAAGCTTTCATCTGACTTGTTCAGATGCCTGCGACCCAGCTAGACTCCCTTGGAGTCTGTTGGGAAAAATAAATCCTTCATCTCATCCTGAGGTAAACATCCAAATGGGCAAGTCACTCACACTGCCCAGGATCGTGTTTCTCTCTCTGGCTATGTAAACAGTCTAAATGGTTGCATAGCCAGATAAAATAACCCAGACACATTTTTGAGGTACCGTTTGGGAAGAAAGGGCAAGAAATGACAGACAGGTCTCTTCCAAATGAATAGCATGCAGCAGACATTCATACCACTCTGGGTAAGGGCCCAGTCCCAGCAAGAACTGTCTGTTTCTTGGAATCTGGGATATTCTCTAAAGCAAATAGCGGTATTGCATTTGGTTCACAACCTTTCAGAGCAATTACAATCTTCAGGAGAAACAACAGTAAACACAGATCTTGACAGCAAAATTGAAAGCATGTCATTTTTCATAGGGAACCTTGAGATGGAGAAACTTCAGATTCCATCCAAGTTCCTGCTGCCTCTGCCACTGCCAGTAATATTCCCAAAGCCTCTGAGGCATCTGAACAACTTCAGCTATTTGTTCTTCCGCAGAATTTTCTGTCCTTTGCTATTGTCATAGAGGAACTTGTCTTTTCTTCACCACATATAAAATAAAAGGAAACCCCTTTCATTTCATGAATTTGATTTACCTCTATAATAGCGGCATCGATACTGGACTGCAAGGACAGGAAACCTCTGTACCAATACTTTGGACTGTTACAGTAATGAGATGAGAAATTATAACAGGTATCTGCAAGGATGAAAGGTTAACACATACGGATTACTCCAACAAAGCTACGCCTGTCCAAGTCAGGCAAACGTATGTCCATAAATATTTATTTTGAATTACCTATGTATCCAAACTTCTCATTTGGAATAACTAATCTCGAAGTAGAAAATCTGAGGCGATAGGAGAAGTTGTCTTTAAATACAACCCCTATAATTGTGTTATTTGAAATCCATGCTTGCTCCAGCGCTCTCTCATTTTCCATTGCCTCTAACTTTATACCTGTGGTTTAGAAGAAAAACATTGCAATGAGTTTCTGCAAGTCAGAAAATGTGAGCATGGGTACTGCTTATATATTCTGCTTTGGTCAGCTTTGCAACTGCCCCTTTACACTTCTTCTATCTGGATGAGTTACATTTGCCTACCTTTAGGTAGTTCATGCTTAACCAATCGAGAAGAAGGATTTCTCAAAATAATGAGCCAATGCATCTTAATAATATTATTCTATATAGTGAGTATCTTGTAAGGCAGAGCTACTTTTCACAGAGGTGTAAGATGAGCTCTTTAGTCTTTTAAATACTACTAAAATATTATCTACTAGTATAAATATTTGAAGAAATGGGAGATCTGGGATGAGTTTTCTCTATTAGCTGAAGATACTTAAAACACATGAAAACACAATGCAGGTACAATAGATTAAATAATGACAAATCTAAATACATAAAAGACAAAACATACCTGTCATTACAGATTTCAAGGCCACCTTATTCATTATCTGTCTTGTGGTTGCTGTTATGGGTGTATAAGCAACAGTAACCCCAGTAGTATCAAAGGCAGGATCATCAAGTTGCCCAAGATAAGTGTAAGGCACTTCTGGATGGCGTGTATGCATTGTGAACAAACTTACTAAAAATATCAGAGGCAGAAAAAGTAGAGACAGGGTCCACTCCTAGGTAAGGAGAAAATGGAGAGGAGAATTTAATGATATAGGGGAATTTTGTAATAATAATAATAGAGAGCACATTCTCTGAGGGACTGAGACCTAAAGAGGCACTTGATCACCTTGGCTTTTTAGAGGTGGATTAACTAAGGATATCTTTGCACTATGCATGTCACTTAGGTGAATTACCCGCAAAGAGCCCATCTGTGCTTTCATATATTACATAAATGACCTATGTACAATTTCTTATAAAAGCAGTCTCGCAAGTCTTCATTAGTAGCTAGGTTATTTTTACATTTGCAGAAAGAACTGGCTGTTTAAAGAAGTGCAGGGACTGGAGGCTCCTCAGTGTTTAGCTTTGCACTGTTTTGTTTTCAGTATTTTAACTTACCTGAAAGCTCTGCCTTTTCATCCTCCATTTGACAAGTACATTCTTCCACAAGAGAATTTTTGTTTGCTGGAATACGCTCATATTTCTCTGAAGTCTCTTCATCTCTGAACCTACAATTCTTTTTTAAATTACTTTCAAATGCAAGAAAAAAAAGAATAGCAGTGACTGTTTTATTGGTACAACCTTTGTATTTATTCCAGCTCATAGGACTTTTTAAAGGCTCACGTTGTCCTCAGCATACTGCTAAGTCTTGTTTTGGAGACCTGAACTATCCATTGCAACTCAAATCCTTAAACTGGGAGGAGGTATTTATGAAACGTAATGGGAAGCTCAGACTGCATGATCTCATTCGTTTGGGTGGCCTTCATGTCCAAGAAATGACAACTGTATCACTTAAAAATGCCAAAAATCATTCTAACTGGCTACAGGCTTCACACCAAGAGGTGTTGAGCAACTCCTGGATGCTGTAGAGGCTGAGCTCATCCTGAAATCCTTGTCAGCGGAAAGCAGCTTGGAGTTATGAAAGAGCAAACCCTTGGACACGCACTTGGAGAACTGTCACTGTCCAAGCAGAGAGAAACTTGGCAGCAGCCTTTAAACAGCTCTAGCCAAAGCAAAACAATAATTTACTGCCTGGATAATCATTAATGGTGGCATGGGAAGTTTAGAAAAACTAGGGATAGAGAGGGTTGTTTGAGACACTTTTGTAGATGAGATATGCAAGCTGTTAGTAAAACAACCATGAGTAATTGAACAGAGTAAAAGGACTAAATACTCAGACCTTAAAGGGCTGTGTGCGGAGCCAAACTGCTCTTCCAGCATACAAGCAGCTAAAACATACTTTCAGACAAGATGTTTTCCTCATCTTTTGTAATTAAATAAGTTGTAGAAATATTGGCATGTTTCCACACGCAATCCTTTCAACCCTCTATATCATATGAAAAGAAGATGCATGTTCTCCTATTCCCTCTGGGAAAATATTATCTCATGGTGCCGACAGGCGCATTGCAGTTTATCTTCCTCCAAATACTCACATTCGTGGTTTTCCTCTCTTAATCACCAGTTTAATGAAGCCTTTTAGAATGAAGGACTCCTGGTGAACTACCCTATGCATGCATACCCTCAAACCCAATTACTTGTGATGTTATTAATTACCAGATGTTTTCACCCACTTGAAATAATTAAATAGTTCTGAAAGGAAAGGAAAAAGAAAGGAAAGGAGAATAATTAAATAGTTCTGAAAGGAGAGGAAAGGAAAACGAAAGGAAAGGAAAAAGAAAGGAAAGAAGAAAGAAAGGAAAGGAAAAAGAAAGGAAAGGGTCTTACCTTAATGGGAGGGTTTGGCAGCTGGTTTTTGCAGCTAGTGACGCGCCTGCAAATGCCCGTGGATGTGCCCGTCGCGGCGCTCCTCTCTCCTTCACTCACTCCCCAGTGCTGCGCTGCTGCCCAGGGACATTCTTCACGCCTGTGCTTCACTTCTTGCTGCCTTCCTCTTCTCCTCCCCACTCTCCCTTCCCCCTGGGCACATCTTCGGGTTTATTTATATCAAAAAAAGCAAACAGAGTTTATTGTTGTTGAGGCGCTGAAGCAGCTTCTCGGAAAAGTTACTCAGGAAATACTTGAGTCTTAGCCAAGAAAGGCGAAAAACAAAAAAGCCAAAAACTTTTCAACAAATGTTACAAAATCCTTTTCTGGCCTGCTCCGCTGTGTTCCTCGGTGCAGCAGCAGAGGCTTGAGCTGCAAGGAGTATCAGGACATGGTGTTCAGGGTGAAGGAGTAAACGCTGACTCTCCAGACCCTGCGGTTTTCTTGCAAACAACTGTTTCATGGAGACCAATAAAGCTCCTGCACTCTTCGGCTTGCAGGAGAGCTTGTAAAGTTTAAAATAAAGGGAAACCTTCTACTTTCACCCCGAGCCCAGGTCCCCGGCTCTGCAGCATCCTTCCTGCTCTTCACGCGCCCCTTGCTTCTCTGTGAGCAAGGCTTAAAACACTGGCGGTGGGAGGGAGCAGCGAGCAGCTGTGCTGGGACAGAGGTTGGGCTTGCAGACGCCCAGGGAGTCGGATCCGCTCCCCTTTGCTCTGCGGAGAGAAAAAGGCACCAATAACTAGGTTCAGATCATGTGCAGATGTCTCAGCCAGACCAAGGTAGGCTTCGAGGTGTAAGTCAAGGCACAGAATCCCATTAAGACCTGCCCCTGATTATGCATCCTAGAAACCCTTCGTAC